CTTTTCTAGGATGTCTGGTTCGAGGTCAGTGACCATCTCATTGTGGTTATCTGGGATGTTAAGCTCATTCTTGTATAGTTCTTCTGTGTAGTTTTGCCATCTCTTTCTTAATCTCTTCTGCCTCTGTTAGGTCTCTGCCATTTTGGTCCTTTATCATGACCATCTTTGCATGAAATGTTCCCTTCATATCTCCAATTTTCTTGAAGAGATCTCTGGTCCTCCCTGTTCTGTTGTTTTCTTCTATTTCTTTGCACTGTTCATTTAAGAAGGCATTCTTATCTCTTCTAGCTACTCTCTGGAATTCTGCATTCAATTGGGTGTATCTTTCTCTTTCTCCTTTGCCTTTCACTTCCCTTCTTTCCTCAGCTATTTGCAAAGCTTCCTCAGACAGCCATTTTGCTTTCTTGCATTTCTTTTTCTTTGGGATGGTTTTAGTTGCTACCTCTTGTACAATGTTGCGAACTTCCATCCATAGTTCTTCAGGCACTCTGTCTATCAGATCCAGTTCCTTAAATCTATTTGTCACCTCTACTGTATATTCATCAGGAATATGATTTAGTTCATACCTGAGTGGCCTAGTGCTTTTCCCTACTTTTTTCAATTTAAGCCTAAATTTTGCAACGAGAAGCTCATGATCTGAGCCACAGTCAGCTCCTGGTCTTGTTTTTACTGACTGTATAGAGCTTCTCCATCTTTGGCTGCAGAGCACATAGTCAATCTGATTTCTATGTTGACCGTCTGGTGATGTCCATGTGTAGAGCCGTCTCTTGGGTTGTTGGAAAAGAGTGTTTGTTATTACCATCGTATTCTTTTGACAAAATTCTATCAGCCTGTGCCCTGCTTCATTTTGTACTCCAAGGCCAAACTTGCCTGTTATTCCAGTTATCTTTTGGCTTCCTACCTTAGCATTCCAATCCCCCATGATGATAAGGACATCATTTTTTGGTGTTAATTCTATAAGGTGCTGTAGGGCTTCATAGAACCGGTCAATTTCATCCTCTTCAGCACCAGTGGTTGGGGCATAGATTTGGACTACTGTGATATTGAATGGTTTGCCTTGGATTCGAATTGAGATCATTCTGTCATTTTGGGGATTGTATCCCAGTATTGCTTTTCCTATTCTTTTATTGACTATGAAGGCTACTCCATTTCTTCTGAGGGATTCTTGCCCACAGTAGTATACCTGATGGTCATCTGAGTTAAATTCACCCATTCCTGTCCATTTTAGTTCGCTGATTCCTAAGATGTCGATGTTCAGTCTTGTCATCTCTTTTTGGACTACGTCTAGCTTGCCTTGATTCATGGATCTTACATTCCAGGTTCCTATGGAGAAAAAATCTTTACAGCATCGGACTCTCCTTTCACCACCAGATATATCCACAGCTGAGCGTCCTTTCGGCTTTGGCCCAGTCGCTTCATTCTTTCTGGCACTACTAGTACTAGCCCTCTGCTCTTCCCCAGTAGCATATTGGACACCTTCTGACCTGAGGGGCTCATCTTCCAGCGTCATATCTTTTTTGCCTTTTAGTACTGTCCATGGGGTTTTCATGGCAAAGATACTGGAGTGTTTTGCCATTTCCTTCTCCAGTGGATCACATTTTGTCAGAACTCTCTGCTATAACCTGTCCATCTTGGGTGGCCCTGCACGGCATAGCTTATAGCTTCATTGAGTTACGCAAGCCCCTTCGCCACGACAAGGCAGTAATCCATAAAGGGGGTAATCACTATGGTAATGCAAACAAACAACATACATTTGTTTTGATTACCATACAGCAATATGTTGATTTTAGAGGTGGGGGGAAAAGGGGGATTCTTTTCCAAGACCTGTAGAAGACCCCCTCAAAATTGCAAAGATACAGAGAATGAATGAAAAGAGAAGCTGGGAAAGCCACATGGAGAGCAAGGTAGGAGGAATCCTGGAAACTGAGACCAAGTGGGGAAAACCAAATGCAAATTAAGAAGGAAGAGAAAATGGACTTGAATATTTATTTACTTAATCAGTTTTATTAGCTGCATCAATCCCCAAAGCAATTCACAGGGCATTTGTAACATTGTTTGCCTACAGATGATCATTTGACAAATCTTATTGCATTCTTTGACCAAGTGACAAAATTAGTGGACCAGAGGAATGCTGTGGATATAATTTACTTAGACTTCAGTAAGGCATTTGACAAAGTAGACCACAACCTACTATTGATAAGATAGAAAAATGTGGGCTAAACAGCATTACCACCAGATGGATCCGTAGCTGGCTGACCGGCCATACTCAGTGTGTGGTCCTTAATGGAACCACATCTACATGGAGGGAAGTGTGTAGTGGGGTGCCCCAGGGCTGTGTTCTGGGCCCAGTGCTCTTCAACATCTTCATCAACGATCTGAACGAGGGGATAGATGGGGAACTAATCAAATTTACAGATGATACCAAGCTGGCAGGAATAGCCAACACTCCAGAAGACAGGCTTAGGATACAGGAGGATCTGGACAGACTTGAACACTGGGCACTATCTAACAAAATGAAATTCAATGGTGAAAAAAGTAAGGTTCTACATTTAGGCAAGAAAAACCAAATGCATAGATATAGTATAGGGGGTACCTTGCTCAATGTAGTAACTGTGAGAGGGATCTTGGAGTCCTAGTGGACAATCATTTAAATATGAACCAGCAGTGTGCTGCAGCTGCCAAAAAAGCCAACACAGTGCTAGGCTGCATTAACAGAGGGATAGAATCAAGATCACGTGAAGTATTAATACTACTTTACAATGCCTTGGTAAGGCCACACTTGGAATACTGTATCCAGTTTTGGTCACCATGATGTAAAAAAAATGTTGAGACTCTAGAAAGAGTGCAGAGAAGAGCAAAAAGGTGATTAGGGGACTGGAGGCTAAAACATATAAGGAACGGTTGCTGGAATTGGGTATGTCTAGTTTAACGAAGAGAAGGACGAGGGGGGACATGATAGCAGTGTTCCAATATCTCAGGGGCTGCCTCAAAGAAGAGGGAGTCAAGCTATTTCTCAAAACCCCTGAAGGCAGGACAAGAAGCAACGGGTGGAAACTAACCAAAGAGAGAAGCAACCTAGAACTAAGGAGAAACTTCCTGACAGTTAGAACAGTTAACCAGTGGAACAACCTGCCTCCAAAAGCGGTGAATGCTCCAACAGTGGAAGTTTTTAAGAAGAAACTAGACAGCCATTTGTCCAAAATGGTATAGGGTTTCCTGTCTGAGCAGGGGTTTGGACTAGATGACCTCCAAGGTCCCTTCCAACTTTATCATTATCATCATCATTATTATTATTATTATTATTATTATTATTATTATTATTATTTCAGGCATCTGGTTTAGCTAGTTAAATATGTTTACTCAGAAATAAGCCTTCTGATGTTTAAAGGGGTATCACTTTGGGTACACACATTTACAAGTTTATTTTTACTGAATCAAAAACAACCTCAGTGCAACCAGTTTATAGAATGTTTATTTGTAGATGACAGTGACTTGATGAAAGAAACCTCTGAACTTAATACCGGAGAGTGATCTGCCTTTTTTTCCTGCAGCCTTTAAAGAAAATGAATAGAATATCTTTATTGTCATTGTGTAACTCACAATGAAATTAAGTGCTGTCCACAGTGCACACTACACAGAGGTAAAAAAATACAAATAAGAATATACATTATATACACACATTCTATTCACCATTGCACTGCCCCTAATATTGCACTTCAATGTTGCACTATACAGTGGTATTTAATATGGTTACAGTTCTGGGATAAAAACTATGTTTCAATCTATTTGTCTTTGTTTTTCTTATCCTGTACCATCTGCCAGATGGTAATAGTTCAAAAAAAGAATGTCCTGGATGAGATGGTCTTTAAGAATGTTTTGAGCTTTCCTAAGACAGCAGGAACTTTACAGTTCGTCCAGGGGTGGGTGGGAGAAGAAGACAGCCAATAATCCTCTGGGCAATGGTAATGATCCTCTGGAGTGCTTTCCTATCTGTTATTGTGCAGTTGGCAAACCACACACAAATGCAATAGATTAGAATGTTCTCTATGGAGCAACGGTAGAAGGTCACCAGCAGTTTTTCATTCCGTTGTTGTTTCCTGAGAAGTCTCAAGAAATATAATCTCTGCTGGGCCTTCTTAACCATTGCTATAACATGCTATAACCAATGCACCCTTTAAACTAGGGGACGGCAACCTTTCCATAGCCAGAAGATGCATATCTCATAAGAGGTATGGGTGGTTGACTTTTTAATTATTTCTTTAATAAAAATAAGAATATATCTTCAGAAAATAATACCATTGTTAGAGTTACAAGAAAGTGTCACGATGTATGTGCCATTCATTGATGTCTTCAGATCAGGGCTAACATCCAATATGTTTAGATCAGTGGTGGGATTCAAATATGTGAACAACCCAGTTCTCTGTGTGGATGCCTCTTCCAGAAGTCCATTCTGGGCCTGGGCAACAAAAAATTAGCTGCCGGTTCTGCCAAACTGGTGCGAACTGGCTGAATCCATCACTGGTTTAGATGGAGGCAAAACAGTCACTTCACATTCCTGGTTCAGTTTTGATACCTGCATGATGCAGGGCCCTTGACTTCAATGGCCTAAGGGTCTTCTATGGAGACAGTGATTCTTTGGCACTCAAGAACAAGGCATGTCAAACTAGCTTTGTATCCTTCCTCTTTTCCCTCTTTTTTTCTTTTTACAAATACTAACTAGTGGATTAGAGGAATATTATATCCACAGATATAATATTTTAATTTCAGCAAAGCTTTCAGCAACATCACCCAGATATTTTTCTTGGCAAGCTTGGCAAAAATTCAGGTCATGCAAAGTTGCTCCATGGATGATAATCTTTAATAATATGTTCTACAATATGCTAATGGCCTTGTGATGAACTCTCTGTACATCATAAATGAATAGAGTGCATCACACGTGCACAGAGCTCGTCTGTTTGGTAAACTATAACACTTGAAAAGGAATTAACAAAAGGACGGGGTACAAACACATACAATAGATATATTTATTATATGTTACCTATATTCAAGGTAATATAAGAACTATATAAATAAATATTACATAAGGCAGACAAAAGCATATAAGCAAACCCCCTCTGACTGCTTTCCCACAAAATACAGAATATCATATACTTGTGTTTCCCATTAATTTCAATGGGGAAATGTAAACACTTGTCTGAATCTCCTATAAAAATCAAGCAATGTAAGAGATTTTTGTGTCACTGACTTCAACCAAGGTTTTTTTCCTTCTGTTTCTCTCTAAAATTTAAATCACTTTTAAGGTTCTTATTATTTGCTGTTCTTAGAGTATCTGATATACATTTTACTTATACATATTGGCAAAGGTTATATATAATAAGGCTTATTCTCAGGAATTGCATATTACAGGATTAATTGCTTCCATTGCAACCATTTCACCAGTTCTACCATCTTGGCTTATCTACTTCATTGTTGCCAGCTTCCCCAGTCTACTACTTCCCAGATGTGTCATCTCCCTTCATCCCAGGCAATATAGGCTAAGAATGGTAGTGCAAATGAATAGTTCCCATTACTATATACTGTGGAAAGCTATAAATCAGACTTAAACCAAAGGCTATCCCCCTCTTATGACTGCCTTATCAGACCCCCTTTTTTATAAATAGGTCATGAAATTGTATTTTAAACATCATGATGATCATCCTCCTAATTTCAGTGCTTTAGAAAGCAAAATAAATAGGTAAATATAGTTAATTCAAAGACTAGTAATGGACAGCAAGCTCTCTGCTTCTATGTTCAGCAACCCCTAGGACTGGGGAGAAATCTGTCTGCTGAGGAAAACTGAGTTCAGACAAATAGTTGGGAGAAAGAAATCTTGATAGATCTCAGAGACATCATCATTTTCATGACCAGTTCATATGTGATCATTACAATATCTCCTGCTTGAGTAGGGGGTTGGACTAGAAGACCTCCAAGGTCCCTTCCAGCTCTATTCTAATTGATGGGAAGAATGTCCTTCCATGGCAGCTATGCTGCTTCCCAACTATCATGGTGAGAAATCTAAATTCCCCATACATAGAGAATAATTTGGAACTCCTGTGAATAGGGAGTCAAAATTACATAGGGAACCAATAAACACAGAGGAAGAATCCTACTTCAAACCTCTCATCCCCACATGTGGATCAAGGGTGAAGGCCCAATTAATAAAGATTTGAGGGAGGGTAGTTATAATTGTGTGAGGAAAAGACATATTAAAAAAAGCAAAAGAGGTTTATTACTGAATTCAGAGGTATAAAGTGCTAAGTGTGCTGAGCCAGAAGACATACAGAAGAAAACGAAAACAATCTTCCTTCATCCACTACAATGTGAGCAGTGTCCCTGATTTTGCAAAACTGAAGCACTGCTATACCAACACTTCAATCAACTCAGCGTTGCTTCTCTTTCTTTATTGTGATGCTATTTTTTGATATCTTTCCCTCCAGAATATCCTTGGTATGGACTGGGCCGTGTTTTAGGGCGGGGAATGGTGAACTCCTGTTGAGGCTCAAGGTTCTGAAAAAAGAAGAGAATTATAACTTTGAGATTATAAAGTAATAACATCTATCCCTAAAAGGCAGAGTCTTATTAGTTCACTCTTACGCTCCTAGAAGAGAGGATCCTGAATGACCTATGAAGAGTGGATCTTTCTCCTTCAAAGACAGAGTGGCAGTGTTTACTATCTCATTAAATATCAAGAAGGAAAGCCAGAGCTTAGATATTTAACCTTGAACTGGTCAAATGTAGAATGCTTTATATTAGATGACTAGCTTATACAGCATATCTCTAAACTAAAGAGAAACTAAATTCATAGCAAGTCCATGAACATCCTTAATGATTCTTCAGATATGCTAAGAAATGGCACTTATCATTTGCACAGTCAACCCTTTTCCACCAACCCCACTCCAATATGGGAATAGGGAAAGTCTCAGTGACTTTTTTTAACTTGATTTTGGTTCTCTTCAATAGCCTCCATAGTATCATTATTAGCTGGTACTTTGAAGACAACAACAAAAATGCTGAGCTTGATAAATTACTACAGAAAGATCTACAAAGTACGTATAAGTAGGATTGCCAGATCTAGGTATCTAACATCTGGATGACAAAAAAAATACAGTAACATTAAGCTATCGTGTGGTGTTTACCTAAATTTTTGTAACCTAGAGCTACCTGATAACACTAGATATAAAGAAAGGTCACTAGGAAACATATCATTTCGCTCTGAAACTACACTTTACCTCTGAATATATTCTGGTGGCAATCAAATCACTTGTACTAGGGCCCAGAATCATTTTTTATCAAGCATTTTATAAGCACTTTAAAGTATTTTACAAACCCTTTACTCTTTTCTGCTCAGGAAACTATTCTTTTTATCTACATAAAAATATTATATCTGGTTATCACATCAAAAGCAACTTATTAACTAATAAGTCTATATGAATATCACCTGTTTTCCCCAGATGTCTAACTTTCTAAACATATTAAAATTTCCTCCCACAGCACTTGATTATTACCCTAATGAAAGAAAAGTTGTTTCATTTACCTTCAGTTGAAAATGAGTTGAATAAGGGACATATGAGCCAGTATTTTCTTCTGTACGGTTGAAAGAGATGCAAAAAGAGAAACAGGCAATGAGTCTTAGAATCAGTATACAGTAAATAAATAGATTTAGTTTGGTTCAAAATAACAATGTCTGGCATGAATACTTATGCCAGCTTTTCTCAACCTGCCTCACATGTCTACTGAATAAAATAAATAAACAAATAAACATAATTTATTGGGACTATGGTTTCAGAATTACCAGGAGGCTTCAAAATGACAGGCACAACTGAGCAATCAAGCAATCACCCCTTTTCAACATCTACTGCACACATTACAGTGATATAAAAAGAGCCACTTCTGTCATTTTGAAGTGACCATTGCTATGGATGTTTAATTCTCAGTACATTTCAATTGTGCCATCTTAACACCTCTGGATGTCACTAGGTTGATGAAGGTCATTTTGTATTACCTATTTTTGGAATCTATTCTTAAAGAGAGTTATAATAAATGTATGACCACTTGGCAAAATGAATCATATGCCATCTGCCAGGTCCTGAAACACCCCTTCCCTACCCCACAGTGCCATACCATCAACTTTACCCCAATTCCAGGGCTTTTCAACTAATGTGGAAAATGTCCCTTTCACCCTCTTTTTTGCTGCAAATCAAATGGGGTGAGATGATGGTTGGAGACATGTTGGAAGATTGAATTTGAGTACAACTATGAAGATTTGATAGCAAAAAGGGTAAGACAAGCCCATGAGACGTTTGGAGACAGGACTTGCATATAAATCTAAAATCTTCCTCATTTAGTCCAACTCTTGTTGCATGTATGCAATTCATAAGATATTCTTGTGTGTATTGAAATAAGGTGAATGAGTTATTCTTGCAAAGGATTCTTACAAAAAAGTCCTTGTTATTGATGCTTCTGAACAATTTTAGATATCGTAACTCTTCTTTAAACAAATGAAATATTTAGACACTCACAATGTGTATCTGCCACAGATTTATCTTTTCATGCCAACAAAAGGTTCAACTAAAGCCTTTCAAACAGTTCAACAAATAATGTTTCAATTAAATTAATATTAATTCTGGTTACAGATTACTTTATCAGAGAATGTTTTTAATAAAGTTGCATATTTCAATTAATGAGTTGTTCAAAATTAAAACCTTGACTGATTAATAAACAGGTTTTAATTGATGAAATCTTGCAAAATGATATTTTCTTATGTTTTTTTAATACACGATAAGTGATTAGGCAATTTGTTGAATCAAGGTACATAAGGTTGCTTAATTTATTATTGTTTTTTCTTCTTCGTCCTCATCTTCATCTTCATCATCATCATCTCAAATTAATCCACTGCAGAATAAAGGCCTTGTTGTGTGTACTTAAAGATTATTACTACATTCAGTAGTTGAATTAACGCTTAATGATTTATTTAGTGTGTATGTTATTCATTAGTAATGTTAGCTTTTTGAATAGTATTATGAATCTTTTGCATGAAGCATTTTCTTTCAGCTAGCATTTTCTTTTCTAGTTGTTGTCTTACCTTGTGGGTTGTCTTCCTGAGCATAACCTTGATTTTCTACTCCATAGGTTTTTTTCATGCCCTTTGGCTGGCAAGTATTATTCTCCTGAGGGTAGTCTCCAGGCTTCCGTGGAGCAGTGAGGACACAGAGTTCAGGTATTGCATACAGAAGCAGAAAAGCCCAGCCATTTACTATCAGAGTAACCCCAATGAGAGGATCATTCCATTCTGATGGCTCACCTAAATCACTGATGCCATGCATCAAGATAGCAATCCATGCCACCCAAATGGCTATGGAGACCAAGGCTGTGAGGAGTAAGTAGAAACCATGCCTCTTCCACCTCTTGTATGAGCCACAAAACACAAACATGGAAACTATGCAGAGGAGAAACATCAGGAAAAATACATAGATGAGAATTAAAACAAAGTCTCTTCGGCTTTCCGGATCCATCACATTGTGTAGTTTCTTCAAGGCTGTGATATTGACTACTACATACTGTATGGCTATAATTGCTTGTACAATAGTCAAACCAAAGACCATAATCAGCAACCCTAATGCTGAAAATGGACGTCTTCCTCTCACCAACCTGACAAGGTCCAAGGCATGAGCCAGAAGGCAGGAAAAGCAGAGGGCAAAGAGGACCCCAAAAAGGAAGAAACGAGTGGGAGCAGTTTGCTCATTGAGCCTGATGATAAAAGCAAATGTGAGGCCAAAAATTCCTAGAGTGCCTAAGAGGAAGAGGAACTGGATTGGGATCAGGCTGCGTTTTGCATTGTCTTGGACTTTACTGATAAAACATAAAAGCACCAGAATGAGGATGATTGTGGCAATTGCACCAGCTGCTGCCAGAGCTTCCAGAATAATCCCCCAATAAGCATTGGTATCGCAGAGGAAATAGTAGTCATTTTGTATGTTGCCACAGCCTTGGGGGGGTTCAGTAGTAGTCATGGCACTTCGGATGGCTTATCTTAAAAGAAAACCTGTGGAAAATAAGGCAAATCTGGAGTTATAAATATATGTTTAAAAAAAGAACAAATTAGACAGACAGATTTTATTGTAAAATAAACCAAGTGATTTATAATGGGAGGGAGATGGATCAGTTAAGCTAAGAATGATCCCATATAAAAGGCCCTTACTGCAATAAAAAGGCACGTCATTTTATGAAGTCCATATTTTTCTACACAGGAGAAGAAATAGCAAGAAAACACTACAAGGATCTCTATAATTTAAGAACAACCCGATCCATCAAAGACCATGGCTTTGTTGGAAACGATAACCTCTTCTTTTCTGAAGGAGCAGCAGCAGCCCCTATAAACAAAGAGGGCAGCAACAAGGCAAAGACATCCAGGACAGATGAATAACAAAAATGGCAGGCGTGTCTAAGTAATCAAAGCCCCACCCTTTTTTACATGCATGAGATGCATGCAAAACACATATATAAAATGGAACAGGGCTTTGAACACTGGGTTACACCTGCCACTTTAACCTAATTGACTCCATAAAACACAGAAGCCCCTGTGGGGGAGGGCAAAAATATCAAAATGGCAGATACAATAGCATGTGACCTTTGGACAAAATGAGCGGGATTTCGATCACACAATCATAACTGACATTTTGATTTTTTTTAAACCCCACCTGAATTTCAGCAGCATTCTATTGACAAATGGAAATGTGATACCCACTGATTTCTGTAGCACAAGCCTAACAGATCTAAGAAAGCTAAAACTGATAACAATAACATAACTCAATCCCCTCTCACACACAAATACTCTCCAAAATCACTGGCCAACTTTCTTATATTAACATATTGTCAGTCGACAAATTATGATTCTTTTTTTATCTCTATTTTATTAAAAAGGACTGTGGTTTGGACCCTGCCTTATGTTGGTAGAATGCAAACAGGTTAACAGAAAAAAATCAGTGTCTATACTTTAAATTTGCTACCTCTCACATCCTCAAGATTTGAGCTATACTGTAAAATCCTGATGGTCATTAGATGGCAACAGAAAATGTTTGTTTGTTTGTTTGTTGTGATTGTATGTCACCTCTTTCAATGGCTGAAGGTGGTCTACAATGATACATTTTAAAAAACCAATAAAAATGTAAAATGCTTGAAATATTAAATCTTTAAATCTTGAATGGAGTCAGGGTGGGCAATCTGAAATCTTCCATAAAATTCATTCTTTATAAGTCCTAAAAGATTAAAGAATGGGAAGAAGCCACCTAATCTTCAAGGGGAAGCTGTTGAGAGAGAGTAGGCTGCCACTAAGAATGCCTTTTTCTGGGTTCCCACCCTTAAACTTTCTAGGGGCAGAGACCTGCTGCATCTTCTCCTTGCCAGATTGTCTAACATTCTGGAGAAGATAATCCTAAAGATATCGAGCACACAACTCATATAGAGTTTTGCTTGAAAAGGTTTTGACAAGTATAGGTGTCCCCAAATCAGTGTTAGTCTGGACACCTCCTTACTTGAGACTGGTGCTACATAATACCTCACTGTGCTCACAGACAGGACTTTTTTTTCTTGTAGATCATTTTGTGAAATAAACATAAACAAAGTTACTGTGAAAGATGCAGGCTTCAATGAATACTACAAAATGATATGACTATAAAGAGTTCTTTATTATAAAAGATCTCCCCTTTCCTGTCTTCTCTTTATCCAAGCTACTCAGCAAAAAGTTTCTGAAAAATAGGATATTTTACCTTCCCAATAATTGTACAAAATAAAGATAAAATACAAAAGATTATAACTGGTTAGATATCATCAATGGAAAACCTCACACTGAGCCTGAATGACTCCCTGCCTTTCCCTAGCACAATACTCTCTTCTATGGTTTTCAGAAGCTGAAATATGGAAAGTTCTTAAAAACTTTGCTGAACCTGATATTACATCCTCTATTAAACCAAGTGTATCAGGTAAAGGAGGCAATATAACACAATGTCTTTGGTAAGCTTGAGAGAAATCCACCCTTATTGTTGCAGTTACTAGAATTAGTGTACTCTAGTACTCCCATAATTAAGCTTTGGCATGGACTTACCTTGACTGTGATCTGGTTCAGAGGAGAAGACGAGTTGTAGTCAACAGCAAAGGAATATGCCTGCACTGTCCACTTAAAAAATAATCTCCACTCTTGCTGCTTTTCTGTCCTTGCATGGACAAGCAGAGAATTGCTCTCACGCTCTCCTGGGAAGCTTTAAAAGCAAATAGAGAAAACAGGGGGGATAAAGGAGTTGGGCACGCCTATTCCAGTTCCACTACTCCTGGTGCTGTTATAAATATAACATTCTAGTGCCAGGAGATGAAGTCAAATTTCTGACGTAAGCTGGATAGTCAGTCCGATGGGTGGGGAAGGAATCTTTGACTGGCTCACCTCTCAACAGATTCTACTGCCATTGATCCAGTCAGCCAATAATTTCTAGGGCTTGAGAAACCTAGAGGGTGTGGGACAAGGAGATCTCACAGCTTTTGTGTGTTATTTTTGTGCACAAAAATGATTGTATGTAGTGGGTTCCTACTTTCTCCATTGTTCTGTGTGGTCTTGGAGCAGAAGTTGGTCATATCTGAAATTTTTTAGAAATTTCCTGGTCTTGTTTCATAAACAAGTATGGGAACAAAATTGGGTTCTTTCTTTTCTTCTTTGGATAGCCCTCCAGATCTTCTAAAAGGAAATATACTGAGGATGTACTGTATGTCCACAGATATTACTATGCTCTGCATTGGAATATTTTATTTATGATGAAGATCAAGAGAACTATGTACAGTATCCTGTTGTACATTCTGTGACAATGTGGAAAAGGGATGTGAGCCCCCAAGACAGCTGTGAAATTCATGTTTACTTATTGTGACAAAAGCAGTCTCCTTATGTGAAATTTGATCTTAGAATGCAGGTCTTTACATTTGTAATTCTAGGTTTTTGACACAACCTCTGTCTGATTTGCAAAAGGCATCTTGTTATTGCTACAGCATGTGTCTTTTCCCAATTCTTATTCAGAGTACAAAATAGAGGAGAACCAACAGTTTTGGCATGGAATAGTTATTGAACCTATAGGTTATTGGAAGGGGCAATTTAGCTAAATTTTGATCATATAGTTTATTATAGATTTATAATATTTTTATTAATCTGAGCACTTACTCAGGTATTCCAAAGAAAGATGCATGATCTAACTAAGTTGCTAAAAGAATTGTTCTGAAAAAATTGGGAGCATTGACACAGTAATAATTGCTTTTCTTTGTGTGTTAATGGACAGGACAGCTTATTGTTGATATTGGTGCTAGAATGTTACTATGTTTTTCTTATCATTATTTTATTTTATTTTGTCTTATTTGTAAGTATGAAAGCATTTTAACAGATGCACAACGCTTATACTGGATCCTCACCAAAATATATTACTTCCAAATCAGCAGCAATAGAACAAGATAAATGTAGAATTCCTTTCCTGGTCTCTGTGGTCTCAAAGTGATTAAGGCTGTTTTCAATTTTTTTAAAAAAGGAAATTACTTGCTACACATTTTAAGTGTATGTCAGTACACTGCATATGCTAATTAGTGGGATGCAGGCAGCAATGGGTTGGGTTACAACCGGCGTCTTCAAACTTGGCCTTTTTATGACTTATGGATTTCAACTCCCAGAATTCCTCAGCCAGTGTAGTCACAAGATTAGAGATCCTAGTTTGCATAGGATAGGATAAGCATGTTTGAAGTAACACTGGGTTTGGGTTGTACTTGCAGTTCTGGCATAGTGGCCTAAAAATTCCCAAACAACCTGACCATTATAGACTTTATTGGTACCAAAGAATGCTACACATGGCACAGATATGATCAAGAATAACAGAATAACAGAGTTGGAAAGGACCTTAGAGGTCTTCTAGTCCAGCCCTCTGCACAAGCAGGAGACCCTACAGTAGTCTAAAAAGCTAGTAATTTAAATAAGTAACTTAAGGCTAGTAATTTAATTTTATTTTCTCTACATTATTAAAAATGTTATGTGAAAGAGTGAATTGAACAAAACCATAATGGGTAGCAGAGTCAATATCTATGGCCCATATCTATCATAGCATATGGAAGGGCACAACTTGGAAAGTAAGAAGAATAAATCGTAAAGAGCAGTAATTAATGAAATCGATGAAAGAAAAACAGATAGGTTGGGTTTCTGTGAAATTAAAGAAAGGAGAAGCTTGTAACAGAACTAAATGAAAGTGGTCTGATTTTGCTGAGTACAGTTAATTAGTGCTCTTCCATATACTTAAATGTAACATAGGTTATGAAAGAGATAAAATGCATGTCATAAAATATGAATTGGTGTCATCTAATTTGTTACATACATATCTGGAAATAGGGATTGATAGGTTGGTGATGGTTAAGAACCAGAGATGAGTCTGGGAAAAAATGACTGCACAGTGTTCCAAATAAACATGAGCCATGGCACAAAGTTAGATGACATGAATGAATGAGTGGGGAAAAGATGAGATGGAACTTACTGATTGAATAAAACAATAAATAAAAAGGTGACTGCTAAGTATCTGTTTAGAAAAAGGTCTGCTTCTTTCAAATATGTAACTTAAGTATGTCAATGTAGCCATGGTAAAAGAATCAATATAAATCTGAAAGCATGGTTGATGTGATATTTTATGATGAAAGATTGAGAGAATTAATGAAGGATAGTAAGTTGATGAGATGTTCTGAATGTGGAGCAGGGCATTTTTGGTAATGTTAAGAACCTTAGGGAGGAAATTGATAAGGAAGGAAAGAAATAAAAGAAACTAGAATGAAAGTGGAATGCCCTTAGGAAGAGAAACTATGAGGTTGAATGAACAAGTATTACAGGATAAATTGATTTTCCAGTAGAATGAATGGAAAGTGGATGCCAGTGAAAAGGCTGAAAAAGGATGTATTGGGATAAAAGAGAAAATAATGCATATCAAAGAATGATTGCTGCAAAAAATGAACATAAGAGAAATATGTTATATAATATAAATATAGAAAGAAAAATATAGCTCCAAGAAATGTAATCAAAGAGAAAAATTGACAGTTAGGTTTAAGAAAGGCAGAGAAAGTCCAGAGTGAGTTTGATGAAAATTTAAAAACATTCTGGAAATGGGTGAAGACAGCTAAATAAGGAATTTCCAGCACAACAAATGGAATTAAAAACAAAAGTGATTAAATTATTTGGATGAAACAAAGGTAAGAGAATATTGGAAGGAGTATTTTAGAGATCTGTATAGAAATGATAGTGATATTTGAAACAATAGAACTGAAATGAATGTCATAAATGATGGCACTCAAGAGAGGAAATGATAAAAAGGACATCATAAATGTGTGAATTTTGAAAACTGGTAAAGTTGGGAGAGTAGATGCTATAAGAAATGTGACAATACAATTGGCTTATCGAGTATCTGTGTGACTTAATGTGTGTGCAAAAACTGCCATCTGTGCCAACAATTGGAAGAATACTGTTATTATTCCTGTATACCAGTGGTTCTCAACCTTTTTAATGCCATGACCCCAACCAGTCGTAAGTCGAGGACTACCCAACCGGTCGTAAGTTGAGGACTACCCAACCGGTCATAAATCGAGGACTTTCCCTGCCCGGGAGCGCAGCGCATGCGTGGTGCCGCCCCCTGCGCCAGCCGAGGCGTAGCTGGCAAGCGGCAGAGATGGCGCAGGCCGACCACCGACTGGGCCACCAGCTGGCCCAGCCCAAGGGAGGTAAGACACCCGCCGGGCCCCACGCGCGCCAGCAACCCTCCCTGCGCCCACCGGCCTCCCACCTCCCACCCCGGCCCTCTTTTACTTACATTTTTAGTAGTTGCTCAGCAGGCAGGGGTGGAAGCTTCCAGACAGTTCGCCTTCGCTGCAGACAACTTGCAGCACCGTTTGCAGAATGGGGCTTTTGGCGGGCTCAGCAGGGCAGAGACAGCCTGGACAATTCCTATTGGCTTTTGAAAGCCAATAGAATTAGACTCTATTCAAGAGAGTCTATTCTATTGGCTTTCAAAAGCCAATAGAATAAAAGGGAGTAGCACAGCTAAGGAAAAGGGGGAAAAAATGGCGGACTGCATTGTTTGGCGACCCCCGTGAAATGGTCGTTCGACCCCAAATGGGGTCCTGACCCACAGGTTGAGAACCACTGCTGTATACAAAGGGAAAGTAGCAAAAGTGAAAGCAAAATGAAAAGAGTCTTAGCACTGATGATGTTACCTAGTTTGGGTAATGAAACATCTGCAAGAACACAATATAGCCCAGAGAGCATCAAGGTCCCTCAAAGGGATCTTAGCTTGTTAAATATTCCTAGGCAAGTATTTGCCAGAGTTTGACTAAATAAAAGTGACCATAAGAAAAGTTTGGGGACTAAATTGGAACTTTTTGCTTGGCATGCAATCCTAATTTTAATTCCTATGGGTAATAAGAAATGTGTAAATATGAAGGTGTTTGTGAATTTGTATGCTTGTATGTAATAAAATGAATAGCTTTGAATCGTAGAATATTTTAAGTGACTATTAAGGCTGATTGGAAGTAAAGTCAGCATATTATCAAATGGAATGCTTAATAAATGATGCAAAGAGAGCTGGAATACAGTAGCCAGTCACTACTGCAAAAGAAGTGGAGATGCTCTGCATTACTTTGTTTACCAAAAGTGAATAGCATGATGAATATGTGCATACTTATGAGGTGTCTCAAATTATTGAACTGAATTCATTCACTTATTTACCAAGAATAGCAACTAATATAGTCCAGAATAATGACATGTCTTGAATAATTAAGAAATAAATTTGCATATTTTATTTTACATCTGCAATGCTGTAAATTGAGAGGTGAGAAAAGAGACTTTATTTGATGAATTTCCAAAGAAAATACAGCTCAGCAATCACAAAAGGGGCCCCCAGAAGGGCTCAAAACTTCTCTTCCTGACAAAGGGAAGGAAACAGGCTGCAACTGCCAGTTGCAAACAGCTTGGTGGAGTATAAGTTGTGCAAAGTTAGTTTCAGCCTATGTGGGGAGTGACTCTGTTCATCCCTCTGGAATGCGTTCAGCTAAAGTAAGGGTTTGGGGCCAATTGGCTGGAGACCAAATATGCCTCTTTCATTTCTGCTGCTAAGTTATTTATAAAGCATGCCTTAATGACATTAAAGAAACACCCTTTTTATTTCTTTTAGTAGGAATGTAGGGGAAGAAGAAAACCAAATTTAGATTTCAGCAAATTTTACAAAGATTTATGTTCTCTAAGCAGCTAGACATATCATTTTTTTCAAAG